CATCAAAGAAACTTAAAAGACTTCTGTGTTTTTTCTGTTGTTTGACACTTTGGGACGGAAACTTCTCCCTTCAAATACAAGTGTGAGACACTATTTTATTTTTAAATAGAAGCTGTGATTTTCACATATTCATCCAACTCTACCACTTGTGGCTTAAGAAAATAAGAAATATCATGAGACTTGTGCAAAAGTCACAGGATCTGGCAACACTATACTCTGTGATATCCCACAAATACAAGTAGATGTTCCCCACAGGAGATACTTCTGTAAGGACGTAGAAAAGTTTCCCATGCAGAGTACTCGGCACTGGCCAGGCTCAGGCACCCCAGGTTTCCAGAATGGCAAATGTGTTCCTTCCTTTGTTTCACAGAATGAATTTTCATTGAAAAGGAGTTAAAGATCAGATACCCTCCTATAGCAAATAGCATGTCAGCTGGCTTAAAAACCATCCCCTGTTCAGTATTTAGCATAAGATCTTAAAAACTGTCTTGGTTTTCTGCACGCAGTCAAAGATGAACAGATCAGTGCAATAGCCTCAGCAGAGCTGCCTGCTCTAGGTAAACAGCTTCAAAATACCAGGTGAGGGAATGCACATAAGCAATTGCTCTGATAAACAATGTTGCCAGTTTTTAAATCTGTGAAGAATTATCCTGTCCTACTGTAACATACATCAATTAAATTATAAGCATCCATGCAGGGAGAGGGCTTGTTTATGTAGTTTGTAGCACTTTAACATGTGAAAATATGAAATACACAAGGGGATACAAGTCTTCTGTAGCAGAAATGGGAGCCTGAATCCATTGAAACCACTGGCTGGCAAAAATTTAAGGGTTAACTTAATAAATACAAGTTTTTAAATGTCTATTTTAGATTCTCAGCTGCTTTCATCTCCTTCCTGCACAGCACTTATTTTCCTTCTGACAATAAATAATTTTTACACGAGCAATAAAGCTAACTCCAGGTGGTGCAGTCATCATAAACTAAGCACAGTCCCAGAGGGAACCAAGCTGCCAATCTGACAAAAACAGTATGGGTGTTGTTTCCTTATCTTGTTGTAACTTTGCTGCCTCTTGTGTTAGATGCCTAAATAAATGATAGTAATTTAACACTCTGGCACAGCGACAGGAAATTTACCTACCTCCTCTGCTGCTTCCCATGGCTATCAATGTCCTTGTCATCTCAAGGTTTTACTTTTCCCCATCCAACACTACACAGATTGGCCTCATCTGTAGAATGGAGCTCCCTTCTCACACAATGTGTTGACCCAGACATCCCAACAAGAGAATTTATTTCACTCAATGACTTGCAATCATATTATTGCTTTTTAAAGTCACATGATGAAACGCCAGGGAGCTAAATCATTAAATCCAGTTAACATAATTCCAGAGATGTGGAAGAGGAAGGAAATTCAGAAGAGCTGCAGAGAGGCAGGATCAAGCATAACTGGGCCACCCTTCACATGTGTACCTTATGTGCTGTTAGGAAGTCAGGCATTATATTATTAGTAGTAGAACTGAACAGTTCCCTCCCATGCCTACAACTCTGTTTAATCCTACATTGAGATATGCCTTCTTTGTAAACTGATTGTTTAAACATTTGTCCAACACTCTTCCTGGGTATCAGAGACACATCTTCATTCCGGTACTGCTTGAGGTTCTCTGCTATCCCCACATTAGATTTGCCCTTTCCCATCTTCTAAGACCTCCCCTGTCCTTTCACAGTCTCCTGAAGCTGTATCAGTGATGGTTCAAATATTGCTGAGCTAATTCTTTAGTGCCTTAGGATGAATTTCATCATGGAATCAAATTTATCTTAATATTTGTGATCTTTTTCTTGCTTTATTCTAGGCTGCAATCCTAGTTCCATGTGAAAATTCATTGCATTAACCATTTAACTAGTTAACTTTTCAATGATACTTGTTCCAAAGTAAACATTAAGGGGTTATCATCTCTGGATCCATTTTTGCTTTTCCCAAGAAATACCTTACCTGTAATTCTGATCTCTCTTTCTTCCACTGTATTTTTCTCTTCTTTCATTTCCCTTGCTTGCTGTAACTCACATTACCTTACCTTTCTGAACAGCTCCACTCACCTCCTTTGGGGCTGCTCCTCCAGTCATCTGCCATGTTTCCTTCTTTTGAGTTTTTCCACTGATTTTTATGTCCTCAGAGTTCCTGAGGCAGCTGTATCAGATTTTTGCTGTCCTCTTCATAAGGTTTGTCTGGCACACCTTTAAACAGTCTCAGCTAGTGATTCCCAGCTCTCCTGCACACCCTCTATCAGGTTTTTTCTGCATAGATCCTTTGTACTTGTTCTTTCAGTATGTCAAAATTTGCCTTTTTGAAGTCATTTTTTCTTATTCTGCTGCTCCTCCTCCTTTTAAAAATGTGATGACATTTATTTTCACTTTCACTCAAATGTCACTTCTCATTTTTAACGTTTTTTCCCTGCTGTAGTCAGAAGCAACTGCCACCCCACCCTCAGAAATCAAGCAGTCACCAAGACATATGTTTGAACTCCTAATGGTTGTACACTTTACTAGAAGAAAATTAGACAAATAAAGTCACACAATATTAAAGATTATACTGTTATTTCCCCAAGCAAACTTCTGTCAGCGCCTCCTCCTACATGCAGTCAGTGCTGAACGCCCAGCAGCCCATGCGCCACCTTTGCCCTTTGTTCTCCAACCACAGACATTATTTAATGAGCGTTTCACCTTATGCTGGACTTCAGAGAATGTAGAGATGTTTCTTCTCATATATCTTACCTGGAGCAAGCTATCATTTACCATCTCAAGACCTATCATTTCTCCCACAAGGACTAGTAATTTTTACTGTTGTACCTATTAAGTGGAAAGTCTTTATCTTCTTTGCATTTAATTCTAATGTACCGGCCATGAGTACAGGAGCATCTCAGATGCTTGGGTGGTTTTCCCAGCCTTTGTTCCTCTCTATGCTTCTTTCACACATTTTGGTTTTATTTTCATCCACCTGTGGACTCTCACCACTGAAGCTATTCAAGGTTTTGCTCTCAAACAAGAGTGCTTTCCTCTGGTGGATGGAGCCTAGCCATTCCTAGATGTACTGCCAGAAAGCCCCGCACGAGCAGTGAGGAAGAGGTGCTGCTGTGACAGCTGGGTGCAACAGCTTCGTGCAGAGATTTCACAGCCTGGCGTCTCATTTTCCACTTGAGGGCACCCTGCTAGGGCCTCCAGCTGGCCCCTCTCAGGGACTGCCTTGCATCGAGACTTTATAACGCAACTTCTGACCCCTTGGCATCCTTCTAGACATGGCCAGCACCCTGCAAGCTGCCTGGCACAGCTGCAGCAGGGTTGGTGGTGCCTGCAGCCAGTGGGACAGGCAACGGAGCCGGCGCCAGCCCCGCGTGCCGCCCAAAGCAAACACTGCACGTGAGATGTGAGAGTGCATCTGGGTACAGAAGCTGGCTGGGTCTGGCAGGGTACCAAAAAAGTGCAGGCAAAATGGTTCACAGCACAAGTATGTCTTGATAAACTTTGGCTAGTATTAATTTAATGAATTGAGAACTTAACTGGAATGAGTATTGAGAAGTATACCCATTCTCTTTCTGCAGCACATATTAAGAAGTGCATTGCAGGGGTGCAGCCGTGTAATGTACAGAAGAGCTGAGCTTATTAGGGACAAAAATGAAGCTCCTTTGCTGCAACTTCCAAATAGCTGAAGTTCAAGCACGTGTTTTGGATCTCTACTGAGTGTGGCCACAATGGAACAGGGTATTTCTAGGCCTGCCAGCACACCACAATAATTTGAATTTCAAAACCGAAACTTCAGAACTGAAGGTCTTAAGAGGATAACTGATTCATAACAACCAGGATATACAATAAAACAATTACTGGAGCTTGCTATAAGATCATATTTCCATCATGACAGGAAAGTGACAATACCCCTTACATGGCTGATGACAGGAGAATAAACAAGGCTTCAACTTGAACAAAAATAACTATAATGTAACTGTAAGATATACTTGTGTGTGCATATAAACAGAAGAATAAGAGCCGTACCAGTTACGTAACTATTCAGAATGGACAAAACAAGAAAATAAATACCTTCTTTCCTCACACAGTGAGCAGATTAATAATATGAAACGAATGCAGGTTTCCAAAAACATCAGCCCTTTCTTTAGAGTGCTCTCCCAGGGGTGCTGCCACAATCATCTGGAGCATGCTAGGGCAGGAAGGCTGCACTGCCTTTCCCCACCCACATGCCCGCACAGGGGCTGCTCTCATGCCGTAGCATGTACAGCAGCCATCCATGGCCAGTGGTACGGCAGCCATCGGTGGCCAGTGGTATGGTCCCTCACCAGGCAGCACCTGCCGCAATAAGGCAGCACATCCCTCCATATTCTCCCCCCTCCACGACAGTCTGGTAGGTTTGGAGATGTTCCAGGGAAGGTTTAGACTAGATATTAGGAAGCATTTCTTTCCCAAAGGGGTTGTTGGCTGTTGGAATGGGCTGCCCAGGGCAGGGGGGGAGTCCCCATCCTTAGAGGGGTTTGGGAGTAGAGTTGACATAGCGCTGAAGGATCTGGTGTAGCTGGGAACTGTCAGTGTGAGGTTAATGGTTGGACTGGAGGATCTTCAAGGTCTTTTCCAGCAGAGATGATTCTGTGATTCCATGTGCCTCTACTGCACCCAGTCTCATGTGGTCTCTGAATACCGAGCAGTTGAATTAAACAAAAAGGCCTTCCTGATACAAAACAACAGGGGCTCTTAATTAAAACCCAAATTTTATTGTAGTTCTATCCTATTACTGTGTAAAAATAAGGGGGATTTTTTCATTCTGAATGCTTACAAAAAACACCGGTTAAAAGGCTGCAATCTTATGAATGTGTAATTATCATCAGTGACTTTGTATGAGGCAAATATACAAACAGGCTACCATTTCTCTCTAGATGTACAGAAGAGTGGTATTATGCTTTTGTCATGGTCACAATACATAGCACACCACCAGAATGGCTACAGACTGCCAGCCTCAACATTCATGTTTTTATTTGTATCAGACCTTGAAGCATTTCTATTAAATAACCATCTTGGAACATAGAAAACTTCCAAATTCATATGAATAATTAACTTTCTATGTTGTCTTTAAGGCACATGTTTCTATCCAAATTTCATTTTGGTCCAGAAGAGCAGTTGTATTTCAGACACCAGCTATCCAGGTAACTGACAGCTGGGTTTGTTGTAACTATCCTTATGTCCATAGACTTCAACAACATGTATTGAATTCACTGTCTGTACCGCAGCATTGTGTCCTGGCACAGCTTGTTTCACGGCTGCATTACTACTCTTGGTTAGCTTAGGCAAATGATTGTTGTCTTTGCAACACCCAGGAGCTATGATGTCCCGTGTCCACTCCTCCTGAAACCTGTAAGCATGAAGGAAAAAGTTATTTCTGTCTCATTTGCTCTGGTGAGGATACAGAACTTTCTAATCCATTTTATTTGCACATCAAGCATTTTTCAAACAGCTTGTGCTGTAGCATATGGACTCACTTCCCCTAGCATTAAAACCAGTTGGCAGCAGCGGGGCAAATAATTGTGTCTCCGTACAAGCTGATGCAGACATTGAAAAGACTTACGAGGTTGGTTTTATTTGGGGTTGGGGCAGATGTTATTTGTTTGCTTTCTATCAAATGAGTCCCCAGCTCCAATTTAATGCTTAGCTATCTGGAGAATATTACTAAGAACACTTGAATGCCGAGACTGGTGCAGAAGCAAAGTCCTTGCTTGGTTAGTGGAGCACTGTTGGGAGCACAAGAGCCAGTTGTGCCCAGGGGCACTGAAGTGGTTATTTGTAGAGCTGCCAGTGATGCCAATGGAATGCAGTTGCACAGTGCCTTGTGCTCAGCCCTTGTCTGCCTGAGCTGGCTACCAGCCGGCCCTCCCAGAGGGGACTGCAGGCTGGGACTCTGGATTTGCCAGCCACGTGTGTATGCAGCACTGGTGGTCACCAATCCATCCTGCACCCCACATTTCCACACCAGGAAAGGAAGTTTTGCCCAGCTATGGGGTAAGCCAGCAAAGGCTACTGACCCAGGCAGCACATAACCCAGCCGTGGATGGTATCAGCAGAGCAGCAGCGGCAGCAGAGATGGCAGAGCTGCTGAAAAGATACTCAGTAAACTACACACAACTTGTTCAGGAAAACAGGGGGGATGGCGTCAGATTGTTCTTGAACTCTGCTGCCAGAGGCATGATGGATGCAGCAGACTTTAAGCACACACACGGCTCTGTGAACCAGAGCAGGTAAGACACAGCCCTTTTGGGTCTGTGCGAAATTACTGTAGTCTGAGTGTGTGGGCTTTTGTAAACCATCAGTTATCCCACGGCAGCTGCTTGCACGCGGGGCAGATGCTGAGGTTGCTTGCCCCACATTCACTGCAGGTGAGCTGCCTCACGTGGCTGCTCCAGCTTCCTCTGAAGCGGTCGGTGCTGGCCACTGAGCACAGCAGCCTGCACACCCACATCCAGGACAACACGGTCTTACCGTTTTGTACGTGAAAAGCTGCTCAGGAAACAGAAGCTGCATTCTGCAATTATTAGTTACAGAAAGCCAGCAGAAATGCTCATACACAGAACATGCATACGTATAGAAACCACAGGAGAATAACAGAAAATTAAACCAGACAACTGAGTTCTTGCTGTTCTGCTACATAGTGGGTATACAGCTGATAGGTACATCTTTCCTGTAAAGGGGAATAACTCTTGCTCTTCACTGGAAAACTGCATTACAAAACTAATTGGGTCATGAGTTACAGTCAGATAGTGTAAAGGCATCTTTAAACACCTCTGCCTTTGATACGAGAAGGCACTGTATCACCAAAGTGAGAATACACTCATCAAGAAGGTGCTCAGATGAGCAGAATTTACCCACCTGTAATTTGGACAACGACAAACTCATCTACTTCTCAGAAAAACGCTGTGGTAACTTTACACACTTTGTATTGACCTGCACTGTTTTAACTGCACCTTTTAATCCCGGTGCATCAGCAAGTCCTCAAGTATCTTTGTGCTGGACACCAGAACACCTACCTGAGTACCCTGGTGGCTTGCCATCAGGGAACAGAGGCTACATGGAGTTATGCTGCAGATCTCACTGCTGAAAGAAAATCTTCTGAGATACTTGCTACTGAGCTCTTTTTTTTTTTTCTTTTTAATAGTATGAGGAACTCAGTTCCATCTTCTTGACATGGTAGTCAGTAGTTACAAAATAAATCAAAAGGGCGTGTACAGGAAGAAGAACTGGGATTAAATTTTGCATGGGGTAGCCACAGCCTTTGCAAATAGCCCTGCCAGGATTATAGTTCAAACCTAAGTATTCTGGTTTTGTGCAGTAAATATAGTTTACCTGAGCAGAATTCATCCCATTCTGACATTTTCTCTTATAAAGCTCTGCATTGTGAAACTCTGCTGTGTAATAACCCACAGTCCACCCCCACCACCTCAGAAAGCCAAACTGACTAAAACTGTACTTGGAGGACAACTATACTCCTTCCATTTCAGGAACTATTAAGCTTCCATTGACTGAAATAAGTCTAGGATGAGGTGACAGTAGGCACCCTCTGTTCATTGCAGTACATCAAACCCTGTGGACATCTGGGGGACAGTGAAGTCAGTGGAGTTCTACCTAAGCAGAGGCTGAGAAGAGCTGTTAAGAGGGCTGCAGTGTCGACAAGGGACAGATAAACTTGCATGTGGTGGGCTCTCCTCTGCATGCTTGGCTATCAGATGACACCTTCAGTTTGCATTTTCATCCTGGGAGCCCTGTACTTCTGAGTATTTTTCAAGTGCTTCAACTTACCTTAAATCCAGTTTCCAGCTGGGCTACTTCAGAACATCACAGTAAGAGGATTAGAAGACCTCCCTGTACTCATATCTGGAAATGCAAGTCCACCCAGGGATGCAAGGTGCTGAACAGCCTAGCTAGATGCAGAATATATTTGACAAGGACAGACTTTATTTGACAGATAGAGTCAAAGCTCCCATGTGGGGAGAAGAACAGCCACCACAGCATTTGTCCATGGGTTTTAGAGGATTCAGAAGAATTTTGCTTTGTGTGACTTGAGAGCTGTTCCTAGCTAGAGGGGAAACTGCTGTTAACAGGACTGCTAAGAAGCGTGAGAACTCAGAGCAGAGGGGCTGCCACAATGCTGCCCGGTGCTGGCACTGGCTCTGAAAACAGATTTTTATACTGGAGGACAGGAGGGGAATTTTTTGTTGCTGTATGTCTGGTGACTTTGTACAAGACCCTGGGGTAATCATGGAAACATTATGAAAACAATAATAGCAGCTTTACTGAAAGCACATGTTGCTGTGCACACGCCCTTCATGCTCGTTCGATGACTGAAATTCAGAAATCAGTATAATTTAGCAGCCAGCTATCCTACCCTTTGTGACAGGGCCCCCAGATGAAACCACAGCTCACTTCCCCTGCCTGATCTTTCTTTGAAAGATGCGTGTCAAAAGGTACTGGAAGATTTTAGTCTCCGAGAGGTGGCGATGGGGAATGCAGAGCACAGTAATAAGAAACTAGAGGGAAAAAACCCCTCCATGAATAGAGAAGCTCAAGCTGGCACAACCTGCAGTGTGGGACAATCTATGTAAAAGCTTGAAAAGGAAATATGCCCCTCTCCTGTGCTGCATCTCCTCCCCTCTGGTCCTAAGGGCCACACAAACATTGCATGTGTAGGAAACTCTTATTAATTATGTACAATTGAATTAAACCAGTCATTTGTTCTTTGCAGCCATTTCACAGGATTCTTTATGTAGCGAAGCATTAAAAACCACAGTGATGATCTGTCCTACACCTCTTCCTGCAGCCCCATGAACAGCCCTCTCTGACTCTGCAATTTAAGCCTTGCAGCTGGTGGTGGGGGGGGGGGCACATACACATGTAGCACAGACATTCAAATACCTGCGCAACCGTCCCTGCACATGTAGCACAGCCTTGGGTGCAGCACAGCCTTGGGTGGCAGGAGCCAGCAGGGCTGAGCTCCACATGCCCCAGCTCTGCATGCCCAAGCTTTCAGTCAAACAAGAGCAATTCCTGACAGCCAGGCTGACAATAAAAGAAAACGCATGGATCTTTGGGAGGGAGTGAAGGGTCCAGCTCTCTGGTGAGGCTGCTGACCTTCAAAAGCACCCAGGTAAACTGGTTTCCCCAGGACCTCTAACAGTCTTCCACTAAGTCACTGCTGTAGAAGATGTTTTGCCCCCTTAATTCTCCCACTGATGCATCTCCTGACAGTCATTCTAGGCATCCTGTTGTTTTTTTCTGGTTTGACTTTTGTTTTCCATCAAGCTTTGCAGCAGCCTGTCTCTACATATGGGTATTTCTTCAAGAGTTGTCCCTTTTCACTGTGGTAAATCTACACCACACTATCCTGCTTCCTTCAGATCCTTCTGCTTTTTAATCTCTTCTGTTTAGGTGTTCAGAGGGGAAAAGCAGCTGGGAAAGCGCCCTCAAGGGGGCCGAGGGCAAAGTAGGAATGTGGCCAAGTGTCCCATCCCTGCCTGTAGTTCTAGGAGGTCCTTTGGCTTACAGCCATGCTCCTCAGCAAGCCTGGGCAGACATGAACATTTTTTAGAGCAACACAAGTTTCTGGTTTGTGCCTTCCTTGCAACCCCTTACACAAGGAAGAGGAAAATTCAACTATTATAGCCACTAAATCAAAGAGAAAAAGAAATCATATTTTATTTTACCATGGAGGCCAAAGCTATGAGCTAATTTCACCAACCTTGCATATCAGTTCTTGGACTGACTAAAAACGCCGAGCTGCCTTTCCTAAAAGCATGTTGGCTTCTGGTTTTTTGCAAAACCTTTTCACTTGGACACCTTTTTTTGTTGGACTGTCGTTACTTGATTTTTGCCAGGTACACTGGTAATGCATCTTGTAATCAGAAAAGGCTCCGGTACAAAAATTTCAGGTACTAAAAATATCTTCCGTGAGAGAATAGAATATACTAGCCTGTTTCTCTGCAGAAGAGATTTTTTTCTTCTTGATAATATGCTCCAGCTGTAGTGGATATCTGAAAGGAGGACTTTAAACCTACTGAGACATGGACTTATCCATTTAACTCACTCCTGCAGTCAGATCAGCTACTTCATAGAGAATGTTTTATAACTTGGCCTAGAGCTATGTAAAATAATTCACCTCAAAACAGTCCAAATTTGGAATGCACAACTTCTTCCAAATGCTTCCACACCAGGGGCAAAAAATCACCAAAATTATTTTTTGCTCTTTAGATGTATTTTTGACCTGGACTAGTTTCTTTCTGGTTGTTGTCTTAGCTGACGGAGGATGAAAGGGAGTTAGTGTACAGCCAAATTCAGTTCTGCCTGAGTGTCGAAAACATTGGACCATCA